CCGGTCGGTCGGTCAAAGGCCTTTGACCGACCGTTGACCGACCGTGAACCGACCATGACCGACCGTTACCATCCCTATGCCGATTGACCAGAAAACTTCGGAAAATTAAAAATAGTGATCGTATTTGTTTGGCGTGTTATTCGTTATTTTTTTTTTTTTTTCAAGGAACTAATTGCATTTTATTATTTTTAAATCATATACATTTTTTATTTTAATTCAGAAATAGATAGATTATAGATTAGTTGTTGAAAAATATTATTAAGTTTATTATAATAAACGGAAAGTAAATTTATTATATGGCTGCGAAAAAGTATAAAAAAAAAAAATAAGTTAAATAATAGTAAAAAATGAAACCAAAACGAAAATAATAAATAAATAAAAGTACTGTACATACTGCGCTTACCTCCTAAGAATAAAAAAAAACTCACTCGAAAATAATTGACGCGGCAGTATCCAGCACGCCTAAAAAAGTATAATGTAGCATCAAAATTGATTTGAGAAACAAAGTGTACTAATTGCATAAATTATTAGTTTAAAATTTTTATGTTTTAATATTGATGAAATATCTAAAATATTTCTTGTTTATTATATTTGCAAATATTTGATAAATCACAATTGTGAAACGATAATGTTATTAGAAATATTTTATTCAATATCTTTATGTAAATTCTATCTATAATATAATAAAATAATATTAAATTTTTATAAACATCCCTCGAAATTTAATTAAAAAAATTGAACCAAAATGACGGCAATGGAAGTAGATCAGGTCGTCGTCTTAAAGGTTCAATTAATGCTGGTAAAACTGACAAATTAATAATCAGCAATAAGAGCCACTTTAAGAACCTTTTAATTTTATTTTTCTCATTTTTATTTTCACGACCAAAAACAACCTCCCACAAGATGAATATTACACCGTGGATCATAAAGAAAAAGGCGTGTTCACCTTTCTGAAGATCAAATTGTCCAATTATAAGGTATTCATGCAATAAAGAACTAACAACGAATGCACCTAACACGCCCATCATATTTGCGATTTTCTTAGAGACAATTGGAGTGAATACATTCTTAACAGGTAAAAAACCTAGTTCTTTGAAAATTTCATTAGCCAATAAATGCCAACGAACAGACCAAAAGTCACGAGGGCTTGATGCAATCCATGGTACATCAAACATATGTTTTGTATTGAAAATGGTTGTGATCATCCATTCCTTTAGGGAGAAATATTCGGAAGAAATGAGAAGGCCAGATTTGATTAAAATAGGTCTATCATTAATTTCTTTCGATGAGGAATGAAGGAAAAAACGGTAGAAGACTGCACTAATAATAATGTATAAATCGTAAGCATATACTGACAACGCTAGGTATATATATATAAGGAAATTTAAATATTGTAACATTAAAGGAATTGTAACGGCAGGGATTCCTTTCGTAAAAAATTCAATTAAACGAAGTTGGTATGATTTCTCTGGAATCATCATTGTATTTGTAATTGCATTGAACATTACAAGTTCAAGAATAAGTAATTTTGCAAAGGTAATTATGATGCGATTAATTATTTTTTGGTTGATTAGTGAAGTCGTGGGTGATGTAATAATCAAGGAATTTTCTTTTTCATTAGAATTTTCGTTATTTGGAGGAATTATGTAAGAGTTTAAGCGTAAATTAAATAATGTCCAGAGGAATGATTTAAATTCTTTCTTTTGTTTTGAATCTTTTTGATTCAAGTATGCTCGATTAGATTGTACGAACATTAACATTTTTAGTCCGAATATTGATCCATAAAATACAAAAATGTTATGAGGAAAAGGTGGGTATTTTCCGCGAAAACTTATTGGAATTGAAATATATATAAGAGCGAGTGTTAATAACGTATAAAATCGCATCCTTGTTTGAATTGGTTCAAATGAAAGTGATAAAAACAGTAAAAATGGAGTTAAAAATATAGAAATATATACAGAGGTAGGTAACTTTGGAGGAAATTCTTGCCAAGTAGATAATGGTGAATTAATTATGAAGTATAATGTGTGAGCGGTCGTTGCTGACAGCGGTAAGTAAACCAGATTTGTTTTGGTGAAAATGCCAGGTTGCGACATACTGAAATTTAAATGAAATTTAAAATGTCGATATTTTTTAAAGTATCAAAGAATATATATAGAATTTGCGAATAATTTTACGTTAAAATTGAGGAATGAGTTTGAAAGATTTTAAATGAATTGGTGTTTTTTCCACTGTTCTATGTACTTTTTTTTTTTTTGCATAACATGAGAATTTTTGGAAAATCATTATTTCAATGACATTTCTTACGCCAAACTTTAAATTTTCGAAAATTTACTAAAAAAAGAAAGGCGTTTCCATTAAAATCACATTACAGATCACATGATTTACTATATATCATGACTTGATTTTACTAGATTACGAATACTTAAAAAATAGCGCTACATAATGTTTGGGGAAACTTTTTTATTGTGACAATAGGGGATCTACAATACTTATTTCCATAAAAGGTCTTCTTTAAACCGTGTAAAGTAAAATCGATTCAATTTTTTATCTTCATAGTACTTTATGACATTATTTATGATCAGAGATTTTTAAAAGATGATAATCTATCTATTGTTTACGTTCATAATTTTTTTTTAATTTGCGACCTCACTTTTCCAGAAACACAAATATATATATACAGTATATATATCCATAGAATGTGATAATTTTTGATTTTTTGGGGGAAAGGTGTTTGGTGACACATGAAAGTGGCGGTATCGGTGACACGATTTACAAAATTATTTATATTTGTTAAAGGTAATGAAATTGGTTTAGGCTGAGGATAAATCTTTTCAAATTATAACTAAATACTTTCGAATTTAATATCTTTAAAATCATTTTTCAACGTTCTGTTTTATAAACCAATAGAAACTAAATGTTTAAGGAAAACTCAATCGTTTTAAGTATCTTAAGAATTGCCCATAATCATGCAAAAGTCTGTCCTGAATAGACACTTTGGCGATATGAAAATCTCCTCGTTTGACGAGAAGCTACGTCGATTTATTTCTTAAAACGATCGTATATCATTCTTAATAAAATTTGCTAGCAATTTTTCTTTTTTAAAAAAAAAAAATATCCTATAAATTTTATAGATTGGATTGGTATACGTATTTTTATTTTAAATAACAGTTCGAAAATTTTATATATTTGCATCATTATTTTGCGTCACATGTTTCAAATTCAAATCGGCCAATTAGAACTACGAGCAAATTCTTTTTTCGACGACGAATAGAGAGAAGCTTTTTCCCCCCTGCTAAAAAATAATTTTCTGAAAAAAAGGTAGATTAAATACTCCATTAAATCTATTATGCAATTTTACCTTACAATTCAACTCTCTTTTTATGATTAATAAAATAATTTGAAAATTTAATGATGATTATTCTGCGCAAACGATATGGACCATTTAGTCCTACCTAATCAATTAACAATAAGGAAATACATATAAAATATTTTTACAGTTACACCGATCATTCATATGACCTGTGGCTTAGAAAATTATCATTTCGCTTGCTAAATATTAAAAATCATCATGCAAACTGACAATAATTCAAATGAGTTATATTTTAAGCAAAAATATCAAATACTACGAATATAAACATTTTAGTAATTTTGAAGTGATTGGTACGGGCGGCTTTCGTGCAAATTGGAAAAATTTAAAACAAACTTTCGTGTTAAAATCGTTTCATAACTTTGACAATGCCACTGTTAAAGAAATAGCTCGTGAGGTAATTACAAAATGCAATATTGTATTTCAAATCTATTTAGTATTAAATCATTTATAACTAAAATTTTATATTCGTAATCACGTAATCATTTAGCTTGAACATCAATAAGAAGTAGATTTTCATTGCAATATTATCCGATTTTTGGGGATTACAGCATCTAATCAAGGTATAAAATTTTAAATTATTAAGTTAATTACAGATATATATAATTATATTTTTTAACTAATGCATATATATTATTAAAAAAATAAAAAAATTTAGATAACCAAAATGATCAATTGAAAAAATATTGGTTAGTAATGGAATATGCTGATGGCGGCGCACTTAGAAACTATTTGAGGATAATTTTGATAAGCTTGCTTGGGATGATAAATATAACTTGGTATTTCAGTTAGCTTCTGCAGTATCATGCTTACATGGCGAAGGAATTGTACATCGTGATTTGGTAATATTCATGATAAATATATTATTTTGTTTATTATGAATTTGACTGTTTAAGATTAATATTTAATTTTATTACATACATATAATAGCATTCCGGAAATATATTAATTCATCAAGGCGTTATTAAACTTGCAGACTTTGGCTTATCGAAAAGAATTGAAGCAATTTCTAATCAGTCAAAAGTATTTGGTGTGATTCCATATATTGATCCAAAAAGGTTTGGTAAACGGATAAAAAATGTAAATACATCGCAACAATCTACGCTAAATGAAAAAGGTGACGTTTTTAGTATTGGCGTGCTGTTATGGGAGATATCGAGTGGTCGACCACCTTTTTATGTTGAAGGCGAACCATACGACCTTGATTTAGCTATTGAGATTTCCCAAGGTCTTAGAGAAAGTATCATACCTGGTACGCCTAAAGTTTATGTAAAAATTTATACAGGTAAATATTTGTTATAAATTTATATTTAAATATCATGTTTTCAATCATTAAATATTTTTATAATTTTAGAATGCTGGGACAGTGAGCCTGACAATCGTCCGGCTATGAAAAACGTAGTTGATGAATTAAATACAATTATTACAAAAACAAATAAATTTGAAAATGATCAAATTAATAATGAAGAATCAAACCTTCAATTGTCAAAACAACCTCCTTATTCTAATTCATTACATGGAGAGTTATCTAAAATGATTCAAAATATAGATCAGATAAATCTTGAAGAATATGGTTCGAATGTTGAAAAAGTCGTCATCATTTATGATGATACTATTGATAGATTAACGATTACGGATCTTAATAAGGATGACATATTAAACGCCTCAGGAGGATTACAAAGATATCGAAATTTACAAGTACTCCACTGTAATAATACTCAGATAACCAGCTTACCAACTTTAACAAACTCCTTAACAACACTCTATTGCCATGATAGTCAAATAACCAGCTTACCAACTTTACCCGACACCTTAACAAAACTCAATTGTTACAATACTCGAATAACCATCTTACCAACTTTACCCGAATCCTTAACAATACTCAAATGCTACAAGACTCCAATAACCAGCTTGCCAACATTACCCAACTCCTTAACAATGCTCCATTGTAGTAATACTCAAATAACCAGCTTACCAACATTACCCAACTCGTTAGCAATACTCATTTGTAATAATACTCCAATAACCAGCTTACCAACTTTAACAAACTCCATAACAACACTCTATTGCTATGATAGTCAAATAACCAGCTTACCAACTTTACCCGACACCTTAACAAACCTCTTTTGTTACAATACTTGAATAACCAGCTTACCAACTTTACCCAATTCCTTAACAAATCTCTATTGTGGCAATACTCTAATAACCAGCTTACCAACTTTGCCCGATACCTTAACAAAACTCTATTGTGGCAATACTCCAATAACCAGCTTACCCACATTACCCAACTCATTAACATATCTAAATTGTAATAATACTCAAATAACCAGCTTACTAACTTTACCTGACTCCTTAACAACACTCTATTGCTATGATAGTCAAATAACTAGCTTACCAACTTTACTCGACACCTTAACAAAACTCATTTGTTACAATACTCCAATAACCAGCTTACCAACTTTACCAAACTCTTTAAAAATCCACTGGTGTCAGAATACACAAATACATAGTTTGCCAAATTTACCCAATTCATTAACGAATATCATTCCATTATCTTTGAAAAATCAATCTTCCAATAAATCTTCTACTAAATTGTTTAAATCAATAAAAAAATTTTTCTTATAGTTGTTTCAAAAATTAAATTAGGTCATTATGTCATTCATTACAACTTATTCAAAAAGAAAGCATTCATATAAAAACCATTATTCAAAAATAATAAGATTTTTCTTAAATTTTATTTCATTTCAGTATTTAAATTTTCTACTCAATTTTTCACACAATAATATTTTTATTTCTTAAAAAAAAAAATAAAAAAAATAATATTGTAACATTACATAAAAGTTCATTGTTATAGTTAATTATTCACTAATTTTTTGCAACTTCCAAATCAATTAAAATAATGGATTAAATAAATGAGATTCTGCGAGACTCATTGGTTTAATATATTATCACAATAACAACTTCTTAGATGTAAAGTGAGTATCTCTTGGGAGTACAATTAATAACCCACTAACGATTTACACCTCTTGTACTTTTATCTCTTCATCTGTTAGGAGATTGCTTAATGCATTTGTTTGTGATAAGTTTATACATTATCATCAAAATTGTAATAGTCAATGACAGATCAAGACAACTCAAGATATTTATAATTCTGTTAAAGTCAAATTAAAATAGCTTTATTTTGCTATTTGCTATAGTGTGATATTTCACTATAGTCAATAGCCCAACCCATCTCTTTTTTCTTTCTTGCTTTTAACACAGTGAAAAGTTTTTCTATAATTTAGAACTAATAGGAGAACACTATTTAATGCAATAGTGGCAGCTAATTATGTATTAATCTTTGACAAGAGTAGTTGAGAATATCTTTCTTTGAATCTTTTTATATTTTTATTTTTTGTAAAATAAGTGAAAAAGAAGTAAAAATATCTGAATTCATAAATATTTTATGATCTCAAATTTAATTTATTGTTTTTTTTTAAAATTGTAAACAAGCTTTGTTTTAGTCCAAAATTATTGTATTGTTGCATTTTGTGTAAAATATATTTAAAAATATATTGACGCATTGCAGAAAAAAGTTTAACTATAAAAGTAACTTTTTTTGAGCTAATGATGCTTCAAAATACATGTATATAATAAATAAACTTTACTTCTGCTTTCTACCGCAATACTCTACCTTGACGAACTTTAGCATCGCATGAAATATAGCATTCCCACTTTGATTTATCA